AAAAAAAAAAAAGGGTCCACAATTTTTTTCTCCCCCCTCTAAAACCTCCCTATTTGGAACCCCCCATTTTTTAATTTTTTCAATTTTTTTCATTATGGGTGGGTGGGGCCCGGGTCGCGCACCCGGAATCCCGACCCCAACTTTGGTCACCCCTCCCCCCCTGCCCGCAGCGGGCCTTCCCCGACCACGGCTGCAGCGGTCATGACCACGGCCCCGACCGGGGCCGCGGTCATGCCTGCGGTGACCGCGGCCACTGGGGATACATTGCCTAAGTGAAGGCGGGCCTAACAAATCATGAGAGGCCCCCAACTGTCAATTTCATATTTGGGTCCAGACAGTTGAGATGTGCCAGTTGGTTGGGGGAAACACAGGCTGAGCAGCAAGGAAATTCCACGGACTTCTAGGCTTTTCCGAAAGTGCAGGCCCTGGGGGAGATTTGCAGCCTCATACACAAACGGTTGGGAGGCCCAACCGAATGAGGCCCAGTATCTCCACCAGAGGCGAAGCATCCTGGGGCATACTCTTTCCATATAGGAAAGAGCTCACTGCCTGGAGCCTCATTGAGCACTTGCAAGTTGGCAGCAAGGCTGCTGGAGCGGACGCTCATAGGCTGCTACTGGCGCTGAGAGGCAAGGTGCTAGCGTGTGTGGTCGTGCAGGCAACAGGGCGCTTTTGAGGGCAGCGCCATAACCTAGCCTACATAGCTGGTTGGGCTTGGACTACAGTGAGGCGCAGGGGTGGTCTTCGGGTGTACAGAGGGAAGACGTGGGAATAAGTCAGGGGAGAGAGAGAAGGATGATGATGATGATAAGGTGAGGGCATATACCTGGTATTTGCGATGGTCTGCATTGGACGACATATTCAAGTACTTTGTGGGCTGTTGATGTCAACAGTTGCATTGTCAATTAGTAGGCAGACTGTAGCTATGCAGAACGTAGACCGGGCGCCGAGCGTCAAGTAGGGAGATAGGGCTTGGACACTCATGTTGGTGGTGGTGAGAGCAAGCTCTCATTGACATTGGTTTTCATTGGTACGATTCTTCATTGGTGTTATATTGGTGCATTTCTCCTTTCCGGACACTGTGATACTATATGGCCTTCAATGTGATTGTGCATTCTGGACATTATCATCTCGCTATTGCTCATTTTCCTTGCAATTTGGTATCAGAGTTGGTTTGAACTACGCTTCATTGCTTCTTCCCAATAGCTGTTTGGTGCTTCGCATGCGGTGTGGGGCAGTAATAAGGCTTGGGCGTTGAAGAACAGGTGGCCCAGGGCCGTGTGGGCGCAGCAGGTAGCTATGTGGTGACATTAGGGGTGTACAACGTTGTACGCTGGATGATAAAAGATCGTTGATGTGGCATTTGAGCCGAGGTGGAACTGCATTCTGTTGTTGGTTGTGCTGAGGCAAAGACCAGTCATCGTAAATACACATCAAGTTGTCGGTGATAAATTTGTGGTTGGGGGCAACATTAAGAGGTACGTTTCTCTCTTCCTTATGTACCCTTTTCATTACTTCTTACCGTGAGGAAGTGAGTTATGTCTTGAGAGTCCTCTCAATGTGGGGTGTCGCGAGCGCTCAACCTTGAGCGTTGACATTCTTCCTGGGCAGCAAGCTGGTGGGAGACGGGTGATGACTCTGAAGGGCCCTAGACGAAGTACTCGGGTCACGGTCACCATGCCAACACGCTGGGACTAGTGCACGCATGCTTTGCCACAAGTCCTTGGTTCTGCTGCTGCACAATAGAGGTTATGCAGGGCATGCCAGCCCTTTGAACAGACGCTCACCAGAGCGTCTATAAATATTTCTGGCGGGACTCGGTGTTGACTCTGGTTGTGATCGTCGTCCTATCTGCGATGTTAAATAATTCATGAGGATCTTCTTCATCTTTCTTGTGGCTATTGCGGTTTCTTTCCTTTCTTGCTTTGTCTTTCCTATTTCTACTTCTGTCGCTTTCATTTGCGTGAGTCTCGACGCTTGGTCGATGGTACAACCTGATGACTGTTGACCGTCACTTTGCTTTATGCTTACTTGGTTTAAGGAAGTTCCCGAATATCGAATAATTTCACTCTGACTCTCGGAGTAACCACCGTAGGGATTAAACTACTGGGCGTGTGACTTCGTTATTTCGTTGACGTCACCGGTAAATATGGCTAACGTTCCTGCTAATCCGAGTGTGCGTACGTGCTTTAACTGTGGCGATCCAAATCACTTCACTAGATGATGTCCCCATCGGCAAGCCAACCAGATCTCTACCAACACGTCTTCTTCCTCCCAAGTGCCTATTCTTGCCTTACCTGCCCCGTCTACCGCTCCCCCTCCTCCATCTCTCCCTCCTCCCCCTCCTACTCCACAACTTACGTGAACGTCAATCTCTGTGGCCGGTGCATCCAATACCAATGCTCAATATGCTAAGGGTAGTGGATGGCACAATACGAACTAGCGGGTAGCTGCTCTCGAGGAAACCGTGTCGAAGATCAAGGTCTGGTACGATGCAAAGATGACCAAGTTGGCAGCACGCCAACAGGAAGAGGAGAAGTTGCAACGTGAACGAGAAGCTGAGGAGCGACGGCTGAAGGAAAAAAGAGAACGAGAAGAATTTCACAAGGAGTTGAGCGATACATGGAATGCAAAGTTTGAATCGGCCTGTGGTGTGCTTTGTGGGAACAAGAATGCAGTTGTGAATGACCAGGAGTTGGAGAAGCTGAAAAAGCAGATTGAGATGTTGCAGTTAGGGCAGAAGCAAATGGCGGGCAACTTGGAAGCATCGACGAGCAAAGCGACTGCGACGAATGATGCCCTCCTAGCACGAGTATTGCAGGAACATGAGAACATGAAGGCCCAGCTGGATGCTGCGGCTGGTGCATGCAAACATGTTGAACTGCTGGAGAGTGAGGTCCGCATGTTAAAACAATCATGCGATGTGGCGATTGAGGAAGCGGAGGCTTGGAAAAAAAAGGCCTTGAGGTTCGGGAATAAACGCAGTAGAACTGGGCTTCACCTTCATCGACCTTGAAGATGCCATCAATGACAACGCCACATAAGTCACCTGTGAGGGAAGGGACAGTGGACACCACGCAGCTTCGACAATTGCACAATTTGGAAGTAGAAGCTTTGAAGGAAATGAGACTGTATGAGCTTAGTAGGAGACGAGAAGCGGAGCAAGAGATTGACAAACTGAGCGAGGAGCTTGCAAAGAGGAATGTCGAGCAACATATTCCACGTTCCGCCTTTCGGGAGCGGTTGGATGAGGCGGAAGATGTGGCTGGCGGATCTGCGTTGAAGACAGGTAAAGGAAAGAAGAAACCTGGTTCTGGAGGAGAAGCCGGTCGTGAGACGTTTATATGAGATGCGAAGAAGGAATTTAAAAATTTGAAGAAGGATGACGTTATGGAAATTTATACGCCCGAGGGGGTTAAGTACACTACCCTGGGAAGACGATCAATGAGATAATCGCAAAAAGGGTGGAGCGAGCATTCGAAAAAAAGGTGGTTGAAGAAATTTCGGATGACGTTGTGGGATAACCTCAAGATGATGGTAAGGATGACGAGAGGGATTCGGCTACTTCTTAGCTTCCCTCCCGATCGCGACTGATCTCTGGTCTTTGGCATCTTCCTCCTCTCAACTCTGCTCTTCGTCCATAAATTTTCTTCGATTACGACCTCTGGATGCCCTTTTTCGCTTGGTTGTCATTGCGCTTATTCTATTTGGATTGATTTTCTGGGCTACAAAATTATCTCCCTATATTTCTTACTGGTGGCGATCGGGTGAAGAGGTGAATGGCGGCCCGTTAGTGTACGTGTTGGTTTCTCCCTGGTGCAAACATCTTTATGTAGGGAGTACTCGAAGAGATCTGCCAACTAGATGGGGTGAACATGTATATAGGGCGTGTGATGATGGTTTGATTAATAAAGGAAGACGAAATGAGTGTCTCTATCGATGGCTCCGTAGATGTGGTGCAAGAAGATATGTGGCTATTCCGATTGTATGTTGTGACGATAAGGATTTTGAGGCAACGAAGAAATTTTTTATTCGGTATTTTTCCTCGTCTTTGAATGCAAGGGACAAACCAAGAAGAGCGAGAAAACTGCGGTTAGGGAAGAAGGAGCGATTGTGGTTGGTTCGCAAGAAGTGTGGTCAGGTAGCTAGATGTGTGAAAACTGCTGCTGAACAGTCTCTACTCACATTCTATTCGTCTAATGAGATTGTCTCTTCTAGTTTGCTTCAGATCCTTAACCAATGTCGGGATATTGCGAAGGTTGTTGTTGTAAGGGGGGTCCGCTATTGCTGGACAATTGGAAAGTGGTAAAAAGGTGTTACGGTTCGTCTGTCGTGTCGTGCGTATTCGGTCGTGATCAGTTGCGGTCATCCAAAGGGTGGTTGCAGAATGGTGTCGTTCTATCCTTTGATTCGATTGTCCCTTTCTGCTGTCGGGCGCTTTTATATAAACCCTGTCTGATCGCTTTCTTGAGCCAACCTTCTACTCGATGTATCTTACGGACATGGGATTTGGGGAAACTGATTTATGCCTTTTCGGCGGTTCGTTGCTTCCAAGAGAAGAGAACTCGAAGTAGATTAAGGGTGATCCTTTCGAAAACAGCAGCATAGAGATTTCAGGTAAATATTCGCCAGAGACTTGTTATTCATATCACTTATGATCATAGGTATTGCAAGGCGGAGATCAGGAGGGTGTGCGCAAGGCTTGTTGGAGAATTAGAGATAGAATCAGCATGGAAAGATATGCTGATTCGGCGTATGCGAGTTGTCTGGTGCAAGAACAAGACCGTGGGTGATCTGATCCATAATTTCCGAGATATGGCAGCGGAAGATAATCCTAAGTGTGGATGTGCTGATGTTGATTGCTTTCTCCCTCTCGTTGATGGTCACGTCAGCTTTCGTTGTAGCATGTTGTCTTCGGATCTCTTGACTTCTTCCTCTTCTCTTCCTCCTTCTTTTACTGCAGTTTCCTCAGTCTCTATGTCCTCATCTCTTGTTCTCTCCTCTTCCTCGAACTCATCCGCACTGTTTTCTGCTCCTTCCTCTCCCTCTTCTCTTTCCCTACCATCTTCTCTCTTACATGTGTCATTCACACCTCGTCATCTGTCTTGGTCTGGTCTAAATCTTTTTCATTCATGTATGAGGAATTCAAAAAATATCTTACGGCCTTCGGTGGGAAATCCAGTACTCAATCTTAAGCGGCAGATTCTTAAGTCTTTTCAGTCTATCAGTTCTCTTCCTCCTCTGAAGCCGCAACTTGCGATCTCTCTTCCTGTAGTCTCGATGACTCTCCATCTTGTCTGGGGAGTGCATGCACGGTGGATGATGTTAGAACTGCGCAGATGAAGATTGTTGGATTGGTATGATTCTTGCCTAGCAGCAATGCTGATGAAGATGAAGACGAGCTGTATAAAACAAACAAGAAGAAGTCCCTKTATGATGRAGTCCTTCGTGAAGGTGATGGGCAGCGCTGTGATCATGTTGACGAATAGCTCCCGGATGATCTTCCTCCACGCACTCCAATCATATAATATTCCTCGCACTCCCGGCTTTCAGCAGCTGTAGTGCAATGCTCTCCGTGCATGACAGAACAATTGGCCACAAAACTAATAAACCGAGTTACTCGGCCAACCTTATGGTTCCAGTCAATGCTCCTCCGCCCATTTGCGCTAAGATTAGGTAGTGCGAGGAATATTATATGATTGGAGTGCGTGGAGGAAGATCATCCGGGAGCTATTCGTCAACATGATCACAGCGCTGCCCATCACCTTCACGAAGGACTTCATCATAAAGGGACTTCTTCTTGTTCGTTTTATACAACTCGTCTTTATCTTCATCAACATTGCTGCTAGGCAAGAATCATCTCATCATCATCATCATTAATTTTCTTCTCTTGTTGGGAGTCATCAGTTTCATGATCATTGTTGTCGGGCTGCCATCATCTTCGTCATCTTTGCCACTGAATTATCGTCATCTTAATCTTTGTCAGCATCAGGCTGCTATCACGCAACTACTTGGCTCATCATCATCATCGTCGTCATCACCACGCTATTGTGTGTTCTAACGCAATGACATAGTTGCGTGTTAAAAGAAAAAAAACCAGCGCAGTGCGCCGCTGTCATCAACGCGCCACTCCACGACGTTGTAAATTCAAACGATCAGAATGACGCTTCTCGCCATTTTTTCATGCTGTTTGTCTTTGACATTTGGGTTCGGATTATCTTCATCATTACCGACCCCTTTCTTCTCATTCACACGATCGACAATTTCTTCATAGTAACGCGGTTTTCGCCATCATCATCATCATCATCATCATCATCATCATCGTCGTCGTCGTCATCATCATCATCATCAACAACAACGACAACAACACCTGCTTTTCTTATTATCCTTTTTTCTTGCTCTTTTCCATCATAATTTTTCTTTCTCCTTCTAGTGTGTGAATGAAATATCTATATGGAATTTTGAAGGTTAGTAGAGAGGGCTCCACTCTGCAGGGGCTTCACAAGGCGGGTGGTGAATGCCCTATAGGGAGGAAGGAGCAGACTATGTGGAATGCTCCAGTTTGGGGCTGAGAGAGATAATTAGGCTGCCATCATTTCCCAGAGGAGGCAGATAAGGGCAAGGGCTACGTTGAGATGTGCTTTAGGGGGAATTTGATGTCCTAGTGGGAGAAGAGGGTGAGTTTAGGACTATCACAACTGGGGCCGATCAGGAGAGTTTTTCAACCCTCCTGGTTGGCGGAGGAAG